TGAACTGCTGCCGCCGATCGCTTGGGGCGGCAGAAATGCTGGAGCCAGCCCTGGGAATATTCACATACTTTTGATTGATCAGAAAACCAGAATGCCTTTTCTGGGCTCTGAATTTTTTTATTTTCGTAGTCTTCTTTCATGGACCCTTAGACTGTGGTCTGGGGACCAGAAGGGGGTTCCCAAACTATGTTTGAAAACCACTGATCTATTGTTGCCTTTTCCCCTTAAGAACCCTTTTTTTTATGAAAGAGCTGCCAAACAGTCGCAACTAGCCACTAATAGATCTGGTCTAAATGTTCTGGCCCAAAGATTTATTTGATTGTATTTATTGTGTGTGAGTTTTATATTAAAAAGCCTGTTTTTATGAAAATTTTGGGGAAATTTTTTTTGTGCATGGGAAACTTTGTCCCCTCCTCCCCCGCAAGAAAACACCAAATTAAAACCTTTACAATATTCTGGTTTTCCCCTTTTTCAGTGGCAAAGGGAGAAAAAGGAGCAGAAGGACCAATTAATTGCTCCTTTTTTAAAACCTGTGGGACAAAAATGAGTTTGAATTTTTGCACTTTTGCCACAAATAAATAATCTTTATTCAGCTGGCTTCTAGCTACTGCCAATATTCTCCCCCAGTTAGATTATAAGATCCATGAGGCAGGGATTGTGTCTTCCCATGTGTTTGATTGCCTCCTATTAAAACGGGCCCTGATCCTGAGTGGGGCCTCTGGGCACTTCCACAATATGAATAATAATAGGGATAATTAAAGTACATCGAGACTAAGTAAGTTAAATAAAAATGTACAGGCCCAGATGTACTATAATACTCATCTGTTTTCTACAGTGTGGAAATCTCTACAAGGCTATGCCCGTGGGCTGAGCACTGCTAAGGATTTGCATGGTTTGTAGAGTTCAAAACATAGACAGGAGTGGTGCCATTTGATTTCAGCCTAGAAGTTCTGAGCACTGTGTTTGGGCTCAATACTGCATTCTTTCTGCAAATAAACCCTCCCTGGAGTCTGGCGCCTGATCCAATTTACAATGAAGTCAGGTGGAGTCTTTGCATTTATTTCAAAGGGAATTGGATCAGACCCTCCCTGGAGCACAACGACCACAGTATAGTATTAATTATGAGAACTTCGGTATGATTGAGGAACAGAGCTAACATTTCGTTCAAACTGCCATTATATTTGCCACTTTCTCCAGTTTTCAGCTTTTCGTCATAACTCTAATACTTCTTAAGTACTTGTAATAAAATGGAAACGTTTTAACTGTCCCTCCCAAATGGCCAACATAACAGGAAAACTGCCCCTGTGAAAAACATTATCTTTAAATGATGACCCAGGCATTAATGTTCATAATAAAGACAACAGAAGCAACTCTTATCCTATACAAGAATAATACAGTTACACAAGAAGGCCTTATGCAATTTAAAATTATTTCTAATAAAGCAACAAACAGTTAACATTCATCACTTTACAAATTATCTGCACAAAAACACTGTAGAAAACATTCTACATTTAAATCTTGTTGCTTAGTTTTTCATACATCTATTTAAAGTTATAGGACATCACAGTAGGCACTACAACTATCATATTTCTCACTGCTGCGCTGCTTTAAATTCATATGTTCTCCCCCCACACAATGATCTCAATGAGTGTATACACAGGGCTTGGACCTAAGGCGACAATCAATGGCAATGAGCCTGTCAACTCTTGCCATTGGGATTAGCAATGTGTTAGTTCAGCCTTGGTAGCGAGGTCGCTGGGGAAACGGACTTGATGATTGATAACTCAGCCTCGTCGGCTTGCACCCTCAGGTGTCATGGGGTTTTGGCCAAGCCCTTCAGCATGATGTAGAGGAACAGCGTTGAAGAGACCTTGGCCTTGCAGTGGGATAACAATAGCTTGATGAGAGTAGATAGATATTGTATATCTGGATCTGGTCATGCTGTTTTCAAAGATATGCCTTTCAAAACTTTTTCTAGCTGTTACTAACACAATGAACAGATTTTGTGTTTAGTGTTTTAACATCACATACTAAAAACAACTTTCTACAAACTCAAATGATGAAAATTTTCAATATAAGCAACCTCCCACTTTGTAGGTTTTTTTTCAGTGTTTCTGACATTTGGACCTCTTTTCTTTGCAAAACTTATCTTGGGGAACATCAGCATGTACAATTGTAATATACAGTATATTTTGACAGGAAGTCACATTAGATGAGAGATGAATCATTACTGGAGCTACACAAGGAAAAGAGAAAAACCTGGGAATCACATACACAGCCACTGATGCTGCCAGAATTGCAAGTACATGATGACACGTATCAGGGGGTAGCCATGTTAGTCTGTATCCACAAGAACAACAAAGAATCCGGTGGCACCTTAAAGACTAACAGATATATTTGGGCATAAACTTTCATGGGTAAAAAACCCTCACTTCTTCAGATGCATGGAGTGAAAGTTACAGAGTACAGATGCAGGCATTATATAATGACACACGAAGAGAAGGGAGTTACCTCACATGTGGAGAACCAGTGTTGACTGGGCCATTGCCTTGTGAGGTACTACCTTCTCTCCACTTGTGAGGTACTCCCAAGTAATGCCTGCATCTGTAACTTTCACTCCATGCATGTGAAGAAGTGGGTTTTTTACCCACAAAAGCTTATGCCCAGATAAATCTGTTAGTCTTTAAGGTGCCACCAGACTCCTCGTTGTTTAAGTACATGATGAGAATCTTAACAGAATGATAATTCTGGAAAATCAGAAAAGCCTTTTGGCATAATTCACTCCGCAGTACCTTGACGAACACTGTAAAACAAAAATCATTAAGATAATGGCCAAATTCATCCCTGATATAACTCTATTGTCTTCATTGGAATTTAGTCCAGTAAATGCGCACATATATGATGGAGCATAAGAACACAAAGTACAGGGTAGGAGGATGTTCAGAGTGAAACATGAGTCATATAAAGTACTATTACACAATAAATAGAAATAAATATAATGCACATCTCAGGTATACCATTGCTTAAACATGATTCTGCCAGCAGAAAGGAAATACAAAATATTCATTCAAACATGGCAACAGCATATATGTGTGAAGTGACAGGAGTGGGTGAAGTAATTCCTGTATTTAGGACTGTATACTGTCCTTGATTCACAGCTACAGACTCCATTAATATCTGCAGGAGTTTCCCATACTAACCGAGGAAAGTATTGAGACAGATTCATAGTTGATAAAGTGCTTTGGTCCTTCTCAGGATGAAAGGTGATCTATAAATGCATCTATTTTAAAATAGAGTCATTATAATGACCTCACCACACATTAAGCTGTGGGCACCTTTGGCTGGCTTGTTGGAAAAGGTGTGTGCCCCTGTAAGGGTTAGAGAGCCAGGGAATGACTTTGCTGCAGCTGAAGACCAGGTCAGCATGGGGATGTTGATCCATCCCCCCAGATTTACCAGAAGAGTGGGGGACTATAAAGGTACATGTTGGTGCAGGAAAAGCCCTCTTTTATGTGAACCAGATGGAGCAGCACCTACCTATGGAAGTAGTCAAATCCCAGGTTTTGTCAGGACTTACTATGGGCATTGTGTTAGTTGCTCCTTTCTTGGGGTGCTGGGAAGAAATTTTTCCTTCACTGCCAGATTGGCCGAGGTGAAGTGGGGTTTTTCCACCTACCCCACAGTGGGTTTGAGGGGGCTTAGTTGGGGCAAACATGAAATGGGAGTTAGGCTATAATATCACAACTCTTTACATGGTTGGGCGGATGTCCATTACCAGTACTCCACAGGGAATGGATACAGTGATCAGATAAAGTAGATTGGTAAAAGATTTAAGAGAGCAGAAACAGGAAGTGTTTGGGGCCCCTCCTTTATAGCCACCCCCTAGCCATCATTTTGGTGAGGTCCCAGCAGCCGGCTGGCTGGGGACCAGGATGGGTAAGGGGGCAGGCTGATGGAAGCGCCTGTATATAGTGAAATGATTATGGAATTACCTACACTGTACACTTTTATCTGCTGGGTTCTCCCAGACATTTAAGAATAAAATTGTGGCCTAATTAAATCACATCCAGTGTCTCCTGTCCTTCTTCCAGCATACATGGACAATGTGTACAGTATATTTATTAAACCGTGTATTTATTAAGCCCTTAGGAGTTTGTTCTCCTTAGGCTAGTATAACTAGCATTTATATTGAGGGCAAATTATATAGGCCTGATTAAAGGCCCACTGAAGTGAACGGGAGTCATCCGAAGTGTCTAAGGAGCCAAATCTTACTCTTTCCTTCTGACCATAGGCAAAGAGATGAACTGCAGCAGTAGATTGTGGAGAGGCAGCTTTCTCCACAGAAGTGGAGAGGAGGAAATGGAGGTGTGGCCGGGGGGTGTCTTCACTATGTGGATTCACTGGGCCAATTCCCCTTCCCCATATCTTAGGGGCAGCTGCTGTCACTACAGCCAGTGGACTGTAGTAGTGGCTATGAAGGAGCTGTGCTAGTGCTCTGTCTCCCTCCTTACACATAGCGAGTTCAGGCAGATTTTGTGCAAGAGACCAAGACTTGGCCTGTGGAGAGCATTCCAGGGCAGGCTAGGAGGTATGAGGCATAAAAGCAAGAACACTCTTGTGTTGCTGCAACGGCCCATAGTACTAAAACCAGGGATGAGTCTGCTCTTAAATGTCAATTTGGTGGCTTTGCAGAGGGCCTGGGAACTGTACATACACCTCTACCTCGATATAACACTGTCCTCGGGAGCCAAAAAATCTTATCGCGTTATAGGTGAAACCGTGTTATATTGAACTTGCTTTGATCCTCCGGAGTGCGCAGCCCGCCCCCGTCCCCCAGAGCACTGCTTTACTGCGTTATATCCGAATTCGTGTTATATCGGGTCACGTTATATCGAGGTAGAGGTGTACTGTCCTTCCCACTCTTCTGACTCTGTTTTAAAAGAGTTAGCAGTGCTGCCTCCACCTAGTGTCCCTGGAGGCTGCACACTTGGAAGCCTGGTCTTTTTTTTTTTAAGATTTCTTAATTTTAATCTGTAGTATTTGAGTAGTTTCTTATCCACCATCTGTTAATTTGGTTTTGCAAATGCTAGACTAGGAACCACCCACATTTAGCACCTATTCTCTTCCTCCCCTCCAATAAAAGCCATGACTAAATAATTATTTAGCAAAAGGTAGGGACGGTTTTATGGCCTGCAGCATGCAGGGGGTCAGACCAGATGATCATAATGGTCCCTTCTGACCTTAAAGTCTATGAGTCTAAAAGATTAATCCCCTACTCCCTCTAATTACCAATGTGGGGTTGGTTGTTCATTAAAAACACACCATGTGCACTACTTCTCTACCTCTCCCATAGTCACACATCCAAGTATACATCTCTCTTATTTGCCCCAGGATTTGTACAGGCTTAGAACCCCAAGCAGTAGTTTTCCTGCAATTGTTACTAAGCCACAAGCTTTCCTGAGGCCAAAGTGATCAAAACCACTGACCAATGTACCTCCCTGTTCATTTTCTGCTGCTAGACAATTGTTTTCCCCCCCCAGATAATTTTAAAAATAACACTCACAAGCCTGTGAGGTGGTTACTCCTATGGAACTCATACCCCAGATGGGAAGATGAATTGGCTTGCAGATGCATGAGAAGACAGGGAGATCATCTCTCATCTTAAGCTGATATATGAGTATCCAACACACATAAATGGCCTGGTCCAGCAGATAGCATCCACAGCCAGCCAACCTGCAAATGGGAAGGATGGATGCTCTCTGGTAGATGAGGCCCTAAATATCAATGCGTGCATATATATATCTATATATCTATATAGATATATAGATATATCTATCAAAATCTAATACTCCTGCTTCAACTTATTGAGTATTTAATGCAATGCAAGTACTTTGGATACTATTCAAAGTATAATGGACCAAATTTTGCCTTCGGGTATATATCTTCCATTGGTTTTAATTGAATATCATGTGCAAATCTGAGAGCAGATTTAGCCTAAATGTAAGTTATTAAATACATAAGTAGAAAGTTTATTTAGGTGATTATCATTTACATATATTTCATTGTCTAATTCTGAGCTATACTTTAATATTAAAATCAATATAATAAATAATATAACAATAATGGTGCCTTTCATTTTCCACAGTGAAAATAAATCCTGGAATAATATTTCTCTGTGTATAATATCTATATTCAGAAGTTAGGGATAATCCTACAACTAACAATCGGACTCAAAAACTAGTTAAATGTGTCATCTCTAATTTGTGAAAATACTGCATTTAGGATAATAATCTCAATAATAATGTATTTGTTTATATCATTCATCTGAAATTATCAGGAACTTTTTCTTAAATTTTTATCTTTCTCTGCCAGACTATTTTGTAAACAGATGATTTGCTTTTGCAGAGATTAGACAATTTTAAATTAGAATTGAACAAAGTTTTCTGGAAAGTTATTAGGTGAATTAAAAAGGAGGTAAGAAAATGTTATGTCATTAGTTTACGTTTCCCCAAAGAGGTGTCACTGTTCTCATTTAGAATTATAGAATCATAGAAATGTAGGGCTGGAAGGGACCTCAAGAGGACATTTAATCCATTTCCCGCACTGAGACAGGATTAAGTATACCTAGACTATCCCTGACAACTGTTTATCTAACCTGTTCTTAAAAATCTTCAGTGATTGGCATTCTGTAATCTCCTTAGGTAACCTGTTCCAGTGCTTAAATATCCTTTATAGTGAGAAAATTATTTTAAAAGTTAGAGGTTTATCGGCAAGAATCTGTCTCCAAATATATTTTTTTTAACTGGGCCAGATTTTGCTCTCAGTTATTCAGACGTAAATAGGGGAATAATTCCATGACCTTCAGGATCAAATTCTGCTCATAATTACTTTGGTGTAAATTCAGAAATTGAGAGCAAAATTTATTCGTACATTTTCATTTCTATGATTGAGAGCAGAATTTGACCCAATAAGTATTATTACATTTTTGCTTTCTGGAGTTTTGAGTGTCCAAAAATACTGAAGAAAATGGAACATTTTTAGGAGTTTGAGAAGTTCTGAGTGGATTGAATTAATGTGTTTATTTTTCATTTAGTGCTGTAATTATTCTATGAAAATAATTTTGGCTGATCCTTTAAAGTTTGCTAACGACCTCTATCACAGGATGTCCATATTTTGCTAATATGGGGCAGATTCTGATTCTCTTACTCACATAAAGTAAAATTTTATTCCATGAGTAATCCCACTGAAGTCAATAGGGGATATTCATGGTCCAGTGAAAGTAAGACTGGTTCATATATAAACTATGGCCATAAAAATACCCAACCTACATTTAACATAGTGATAAAAATGTGTGTGTACAAAGTAATGTTTCCTTGTATAGAATATAACTAATAGAAATATAGATTTATAAAAAAAATATATTTAATAAATAAAACTGCATTTTATTTCATATATTATATAAACTTTTGCCATGTTTAAAATGAATAATAATAGCAAAAATGTATGTGAACACAGTCTTGATCCTTAAATCTCAATCTGAGATGGGAGTGAGACCTGCATATGTAGAATATATATATTTTCACCAACTGGGTATATTATAAATGTAATGATACGCAATATTTGTATCAAGGAAAAATGGATATTTTTCATATTTCAGACATAGCTCTGTTCTCCACCATCCCCACCAAATATCATGTGAAAGAAAACAAACATTCTGTTTGACTCTGGCAACATTTTGCATAACAATTCCAAATGGTTAGCTTAGAATTGCTTATGTATGTTGAAAGTAAATTCTGCAGAGTTCATATAATTCACAATTGATCATGCCTTAACCTAAGTTCTGAGATCTTTCCAGGAGCATCATGTACGCTTCTTCCAAAGTTCTGAGTTCTGAGGAAGGATGCTAAATGACTTCCAACTGCCACCTTCTTGGGTTGCTTCAAATAAAAATAACAAACAGTCCTCTTGACAATATAAAAGGACACTGCTAAATCTTCCAAAGATGATTTCTAGTAGATGATTTAATGTCTTAGTAATGTGCAGTAAGCTGTGATGGTCAGGACTGTGGGTGAACTTTGATATGCAAGGTTGTTCTAGAAACATATAGCACAAAAGACATCACTCAATGTCAAAAGACCCAATAGTCTTTTTCATGGATAAACTTAAGTTTTCTGATGGTCGATAGGAAAGGGAGCTCATTTTTGTTGTTAGACTTGGATGTGCTCTGACATTTGGTGGAATGTATTTTAGTAGCTGCAGGAAATATTTTTAAATTTTTTCCAAAAAAACCATAAAGAAAGGGATTCAAGCAATTGTTGAAGTAAGCTATGCAGATGGTGAAGGGCATAGCTGTATCCACAACATCAACAATTTGGCAATCTGTTATGATACGTAGCTGGATTAATACATCCAGAAATGTAAACACTTGATGAGGAATCCAGGAAAAGAAGAAGAAAAGTACTATTGCCACAATCATCTTAAAAATGTCATCATTTCTGGTCTTGTTTTTCTGAATTTGGTAAGCCTTCTTCAGCGTCTTCCAGATTAAGGTGTAGCTTGTTAAAATTATCAAAAAGGGAATTAAAAAACCCAACATGTTCTTAGATAAACCTAGCCCAACAGGCAGTGTTGTATTATGGGTCTTGTATCGAAAAGCACAAATTGTCATATTCATATTCTCGACAAAAAATACATCACGGTGAATTAGGACAGGCAAACTAGCCAGTCCTGCTAGCAGCCAGATGCCGATGCAAGTTATTTTGGCAACAAGCATGGTGCGCCGAAGTCGAGACTTCATTGGATGTACTATAGCCAGGTAACGGTCAATGCTAAGACATGTGAGTAGAAACACACTGGCATACAGGTTGAAACTTACCACAGCTGATGCTATTTTACATAAACAGTTGCCAAAAGGCCAGTGGTATTCCATGGCTGTGTAGGCTGCCCACAGTGGCAATGTCATTAGGAAACACAAGTCAGCCAGGGCTAAATTCAACAGAAAGACACTAGCCACAGTCTTTAATTTCATGTAGAAGCAAATGACAATGACCACCAAGCTGTTCCCGAATATGCCTACAATAAAGATGATGCTGTAAACAGTTGGAACCATAATGTATATATAGGCATGCCTTCCTGAAACGGGGCAGTCAACATGGATTCTTTTAACAGTCCCTTCGGTAGATGAATTAAGGCTCATCTTGATCTCTTCAGTTGCAGGTTGGTTTCAGGCACAATATAAACTTTATCTGGGTGAAAAAGAAAAAAGTCATAAGTGAGGATTTTTGGGGGGCTTTTTTACAATTAAATTCAAGACTGTACCTTCTGTAGCAATGATGAATCCAGTTCACTGAAGGAAATTTTAACTACACTTCTAAGGAAATGAGGACATGAGAAATTAATCTACTTTTCCTTAACTGAACATCTCCATCCGATTCAGATGAAGTCTGGGTTACAGGCCAAATCCTTAACAAGCCCTTATTCAGGCAAAATTCCTGTTGCAAACCGATGGGGAAACATTTTCCAGTTCTTTATATTTCTCTCAATGTGTGCTGTCTTCTCTTTGTATTAATGAATACCCTGGGCTATACATGCCTATTTTATGTATTTAACACTACCAAAATCCTTAATTTTTTTAAACCTCATATCATTGTATTTATTCTATTTCATTTTACACTCCTCCGGCCACATCCTGCCATCATTCTTTATGAAATCAGAATTTCAGTACACAAATGGATGTTGGGATAGCGCCTTTGATTAGTTTCAGGTGGAAGCAAACATTCAGTGGTGCATTCTAGGAATACAAACTCACAGGTCTATTTTCCCCAGCGCCTTTGCACAAAACTCCCATTGATATCAACTGCCTCAATCCTGTAGTTGTTTCTTGCCTGGAACGCTTATTGACTTCAGTTGGAAATTCACACAGAGAATCTCTGTGTAATTGGACCTAGGTGGAAATAATGTGTATGGAACAGGTAGAATATAGCTGTTGCTGCATAGGACCAAATATGGAGTACGATAAAAGTTGTAATGATGTTTAAATTCCCTAACCAAGTTTGCTCTCTCATTGAGCCAATGACGTATCTCACCCAGCCCTGTTCTCTGATTTGGGATGAGAGATAAAGCCAGGTAATGAATTAAGGGCCTGATCAACTCCCATTGAAATCCACAGGAATCTTTCCATGGACTCCAGTGGGACTGGATTGAGCCTCTGCAATGCACTGCCCAATACCGAAGCAGTAACAAAAGAACAAACGCACCTATGGGAATCCTCAACACTGGCCCACAAACAGTATGAGACAAAACTCAAACAAGGAACAAACACAGTGCCCAAAATGTGATACATAATGTCAGTGCTGTTCTGGAAGGTAAAAACCACTCCACTGCACTGCCAATTATCTACAGGAATAAAATGTCTTCCCATCCCCAGAACTGGCAGTCAGCTGCTTCTCTAAGCAAACCAGCAGGTATGGTTTATATACCACACTCTTAAGTGGAGAACAGCAGGCTGAAACTGACAACACTCAAATGGCAAAGTATTACTTATAAGTTGCCTTAATGCATACTCAAGAAATGGGGAAAAGAAAGAGGATGTGTAGCTGTGTTCCTCATTTTTCTGTGGTACTGTAAATAAAAAGGAAAGTTTTAATTTAGCATAATTGATTCCTTTATTTCTATGCACTATCTTTCTAATGTCATTACAGTAAAGACTAAAGATAGTGAATTTCCATGGTTCCAAAAGTCCTTGCTTTCTGTTCCAGTTCAGTCATGGGAAAAAACTAATTTTAACCACCTAAATAAACTACTTTTGAAATGCAGTGAGAATTTTGTATCTGTCCCCAACATATGTTTGGCTGCTCTCTGGAAGCCATGGGAAACTATATGAATTGTGTTGAAGAGATTTGCTTTGCAGCCTTCAGAGGTTTACCAGCATTTCTAACTCTCTGAACATGCACAAAAACCAGAAGGCCAGAGCCTCAGTTGCTATAAATTGCGATAGCTCCATGGATTTCAATGGAACTATCCTCACTTACGCCTGCTGATGGTTCAGCCCACTAAGTGTTTATTCTTACAAATTCTAAAATGATATTTCTCATAACATTTTAATTGTAAATGTAAAATTCTGAAGTGCTTAGTCAGGTAATACTGTTAAGAAGGTCAATAGACCTTTGTCAACTGAACTGAACATGAGTAAGGTCTTTAGGATTTGGCTCAATATTAATAGCTTCTTTTTAAGGCAAGCTAAAACTCAGATTCAGTATAATTTTCAATGAGGCTGCAACTTAAAGCAGAAATAGCTAATGACTATATGCAAAAAAGCCTCACTGTGATAACAGGCAGGGAATAAAAAAAACCCCAAGTAATTACATTTTAGAAGAATCTTCTGTCTATCCAGGCTACTTTTTCAATGTGCCAAATGGAGCAACTTACTCAGATGTTTTTTAGATTCTATACTTAGATGTCATGCCAGTTCATACAGTAAATATGATACATGTGCCATAGGCTGGAGTTTTATCTAAAGCTGTGAATTCAAGCTAGGTACTTATTTGGTTCTATGGTATCTGTACTCTAATGTTCTTTTGACATAGTAGTTTAAGCCTAATTTTTTAGGACTATTTAGAGTTTATATAGGCAGAACCGAGTGGGTCTTACAACTTAGTGGTTTGTTGCATTCACCAGGATTGTAAACACATAAACCACTCACAAATTATACATCCCAGCCATTTAGATTGTCAATTAAACATCATATTTTTCAATGGAAAACAAACCTGTAAAAATCCAGGGCCAGATTGTTTTTGTCCCACATTGAAACCTTTAGAAAGGTTTCAGGGGAAGGAATCACAGCTCCTGTTACCTCTTCAGTTAGTGCCTAAATATGGATCTAAGTGCCTAAATTTAGGTGCCCAAGTGTGAAAATTTTGGCATAAGTCTACTAAAAATATATCCAAGCTGCGCAAACATGTGCAAGTTGTGTAAAATCTATTTTATGTGGCATCTTTGGCTTTGCTAGGGCTTCTATGGTGTGCAAAAACAATTTACTTCTTAATGAATTGGAACCTCAGGGTGCAGATACTAAATTATAACTAAAACAGGCAAAACATTTTCTCAACCGCCTACAGACCAGCAAATTTTGCACCCAAATTAGTGGAAACTTACAAGATGACACAGCATTCATTTGACAGGTCTGTGAGGACCCTAGCTGACTATCAAACCTAACTTGTGCCCGAAACACAGATTAATATATTGGCTTTACTCTTAAAACAACCTGGTAAATGTTAAGTCACTATTACAAAAATGAATATGCCCCTAAACCACTGGGGCATTATAACTACTTTACTTCATTTAAAAAAAAAAGACATCTGCATCTAAAGAATCTAACTATATACTGTACAGGCAATGGAAAACTTCAGGGACTAATACTGATACTTTGTTGTTGCTCATTATTTGTACTACAGTGGCACCAGAGGTTCCAATTAAGATCACTCTAAAAGTTTTACACAGACATAGTGGGACATAGTGGGAGACACTTCCTGTCTCAGAGAGCTTAAAACCTAAACATACAAGTCAGACAATGGGAGTATTATTTTCCCTTTTTTAAAAAAATGGGAAACCTAGACACAGAGAAATTAAAGCTCAGATTTTTAAAGGTATTTAGGTGTTCTGCTCAGTGTTGCAACATTTATCTGATTTACAAGTCTACGGGCTTGTCTACACAGCCCTGCAGTTTGGGCTGGGTGTGAATTGCAACATGCACCAAAGTGCTGCGCTGTATCCGCCCCATGTGGATCCTGTTGGCATGAACTAAAAGGTACCTAGTTTGTACTAATGTAGTCCTGTTAGAAGAGGGCTAAGTTAACGCGAACTAGGTATCATGCTGGCAGTGTCCGCATGCCGGAGTTACAGCGCAGCACTTTGGTGCGCACTGCAGTTCACACCCCTGTAGTCCACACTATGCAGCGCAGCATCGAAATAGCCTCAGAGTATGTCTACACTGCAGTTGAAGGCCTGATTGCAGTTTGGGTAGGCATACCCATGCTAGCATGCCTAAAAACAGCAGTGAAGACACAGTGGCTCCTTACCCAGGATTCAAAGAAGGCTTGTAAAGCCTACGCAAGCTGCCATCACACCTCGGACTGCAGTGTCAACGTAGCCTAAGTCTCACTGAAAGTTAATGGGACTTAAGTGCCTAGGTGCCCAAGTCACTTTGGCCTTCCAGTGTTTAGCTGAGGAATGCCTAAAAACCTTTAAAAATCTGGGCCTAAGTGACTTGCCCAAGATCAGACAGGAAATCAGGCAGAGCCAGGAATTGAATTAGATCTCCTGAAGTTCAGTGCCTTGAGCCACAAGATCATCCTTTTACTTTAACAGGTTGCTCTTTTCTAAAAATGGAGTGAGCCTCAAATGTTTTTTTTCCATGAGTAATGATCTGTTAATGCCTCATTTATCCTTCTGATACACTTCCTTGTTCTAGGAATAATGCTGGACTTACAAAGTTGATTAATTTAAAAAAAGATAAAAGGGCAATTTCAAGATTTAGCTTCTTGGGAATTACACCAAGACTGGAATATCTAATTAAATGTAGCTTTAAATACAAAACATTTACCAAGAACTCAGGGCCGGCTCCAGGCACCAGCTTGGCAAGCTGGTGCTTGGGGCGGCCACTCCGGACAGGGGCAGCAGGTCCAGCTATTCGGCGGCAATTTGGCAGACGCTCACTCCCGCTAGGAGTGAAGGACCTTCCGCCGAATTGCCGCCGCAGATCGCGATCGCGGCTTTTTTTTTTTTTTTTGTGTGGCTGCTTGGGGCGGCCAAAACCCTGGAGCCGGCCCTGCAAGAACTACAATTAATTCCTCCCAATCTCAGCAACTCCTTCTGTAAATTACAATCTAGGTACCTCATTTGTTACAAATGCCTCAAAAAACAAACAAACAAAACAAAAAAAAAACAAAACAACAACAACAAAAACCCTCCCAATCAATCCTCAGTTATTTTTACCATTTTTTCAAGTAAAAAAGTCACGCTAAACCAGCTGGCACGACAAATACCTTTATATTCTGATTATCAGTGGCATGTTAACTTATTAACCCCTCAGGCTCAAATTCATGGCTGTCCATGCCTCACAAAATCTGGCATGTCACAGGTTTTAGCTTTGTGGCCAGTCACATTATCCAGAGCCTATAAGGAAAATAGCAAATACTCCCCTGAAGCACGCTGTGGAGCCACCCAACATGATGTGAACTCCTGTGAA